CGTTCTGTTCGACACCCTGGGGACGAGGTTGTGAAGACCCCTGTTTTAAATCGATGCTACCCTTAACCCTCACTCGACCCATGATTCCCGCTTATCCAAGTTGAAACATTAGTTTCAGGTCGGTGCATGTCGGTTCATTCCATCACAGTCACGTGCAGGTCACCTGACCACGCACAATTATGTAGCAAGATATGTGACAGAGGGACCCCCTCCCCCCGTCTTTTGTGTTGGTCATTGTGTTACCAGAATCTCAGGAATTCTTTGGAGATATCGGGGGGGGGGGGGGGGGTCACAGCAATAGTCTAGGGTGTGTATATTATACGGACATGGGGGTACCCCACTGTCACATATTGTGACAGGTGTATGCCCACCCCTCCCCGGTTCCTGTTATGAAGTTAGATTGCTTAAAGTTGTTATAAAATCCCAATCAATATATCACAAAGAAAAATATTGTGAGAGTTATTTTTCCTTTACCTACAACACCAATAATTAATTTATTCGAAAAATGAAATTTTACAAAGCAACTAGGGTACAGATTCATCGTTGCGCAAACAAATGTGAATTCAAATGAATGGACTGTAGACATGTTTTCATGCCATCGTTTTGAAATTTTCAAATAAATGTGATTTGAACACATTGGGCAACTTGAGAAATTCTAATTCGCTTCCAAACTGATACAATTCAGTTTTCAAAACCATTGGGGCAGCCATAATTGAAAGGACTGTTAATGATACACGTGAGTGATTTAAAATTCCTTCAGTTTGTGTAAATAAAGAAAAGGACGATGGTAATAATTTAAGAAATATTAAATCACCGATATAAGGCCAAAAAAAAAGCCATTCGGTCTCTAGTCAGACCAAAGTTCCGGAATTGACGCGGGGACGCCGCTTTTTTTTTCAAGCTTGGATTGAACAGACAAGGTGGGGTATTTTTTTGCTTTTTTGGTGTCCTCATGTACATTGGTTTCCTCCATAATTTGCCTTGGTGCTCTCGATCATTTGCCTTGGTGCAATTTCCCATTCCTTGGTGCTCTTTGGTAAAAAAAAAAATGAGGAGGTGCGGCAATAGAGGGCGCTGTTGGAGCTACCGCGGAACATTTTGGGGGAAAAAAAGATCGACGCGCATGATTAAAATCGACGCGCGCGCTGACCAGAGACCGACTTATTTTTTTTTTGGCCTAATCGATCTTATATTTTTGTTGCTGAAAAAATGCAAACATTGCAAAAACTAGAACTACCTGCGAATGTACAATGCATTAACGCTTCAAAGTTGTTATGTAATTTGCGGGGGAAAAACCTTCCAACGATTTTCATCAGTTCAAAACGCTTTCAATCCAATCCTTGTCGTGTTCGCAAAAAGAACAAAATATTCATCTTCTTTACCTCAAAGTATATCCCAAGCTTTTTTTCCTCTTCAGAACAAAAAAAGGAAAGAAAGAAAGAAATGCCACGTGATCTTAATATTAAGAACAAATGTCTTGCGAATATTTTGTAATCCGGTTTTCAAGAACCAAATTCGAATTGTTTTTAGTCAGTTTGCAAGTTTAAGTTTGTAGAGTGCATCTTTTCGGTTCCAGTCACTGATTAACCAACGCACACCTCAGAGTACATACAGAAGTAATCGGTCTTCTGAAACTTGTCCTTAACTTCGGAGCTTGTGCTGTTGTTCAGCTGGCATACTTTCTTCCCTTCTTTTGTTTTCTTGATGTTGAAGGAGCGACATCCTGACTCATTGGCGCAGGCCGAGCCACAGGCAACCAAACCCTCAGTGATAAACTCCCGGATGTTGTGGTCGAGGAGGCAGGTTGAGTTGAGAATGCGGCCGTGAGTGTCGGTAGAGAGGCAGTATCGACGGGGTTGGGTTGGGAGATGAGTGCAAGCTGCATGACGAACACAAAAAGCCCTCCATGGACTCTCACATCGTGCATCATCCATCGTGTCATTAAAACGTGCGGCTAACTTAGCACAATCTTGATTGCCGCCCCAACTATTTGGTTGCCCATCAGCCCATACCAAGAAGGGCTCGCCTCCTTCCTGACCGTCACACTCCCAAGCTCCTTCAACCTCTTTGTCATTGCAAGCAATCCAGGCCCTGTATTGACTGTCCACCTTTCGTGCCAGTTCTGCCATGAAGTTCAGTTCCTCGAGCGAGCGAGGAGCGGCCATCTTGCCTCCCACGTCTTGACAAGCTGTCTTGGCGTCATCCCAATTGTACGTTGAGGAAGTGAGGCGATAGCACGCGCTCCCCCACAGTTGCCACTCTGGCGGGCAAGAGGATTTGACAGGGGACCGAGACGGGCAGAAATTTGACTCAGAGAGGGCCCTCATCGATAAAACGGCAACCACAATGGCAAAGAATTCGGACATGAACGCCATGATGAGCGAACAATTCGAAACCTTCGCTTTTCAGTCACTCAAGTTTACAAAGTGTCAATATTTCTGCGACCGGACTTGGCTGTGAAACGGCGAGAATCACTGGCTGGCTCGAAATGACAACTCCGCGCTATGGAACAGCAATATGAGCAACGTGTCGCACTCGTCAACAGTGTTTCAGTGCGTTACCATGGCTACAGTAATCATCGTTGCCATAGCCACACCAAATACAAACGACGACTGAATGCAATAATACATTTTGCAGGATAGAACATTTTAGGTTGGTTTCCTTTCAACCAGATGTTTGCAATGAAATAGGATAAGTAAACAATTCATAACAAGAAATTGTCGGGGATTTCAGGACTTAGCGGCCCTTTAATACGTCTTTATTGTTTAACATCGTACTGAGTGGCAGCGCATACCGATTAGCAACACCAGCACATCATTTACACTGAAATATTCACGAGAAACCGTCGAACAAAATACAAACAAAATTTGGAATTAAAGCCGTCTGCAGGCCTGATTGGATCTCACCGCAAAAACGCACTGCATACGCATTACGCTGCTTGCGCAACAGTGCGAGAACGCAATCGTCAAGTCGTTAGATTTGTCGCAACCGGCGGCCGATTATGTTCGACTGAAGTTCGCGGACAAAATACCACTATCAAACGACTTGTCATCAAGTCTACACTAATGCAAGGTTAAACAGTTTCCCATCGAAAGGAATTAGCCACCATTTTATTATAAATGATAAACGCCTCGCCGAGCACGTACCAAATTACTTGACAAAGAGTGAAACCTTTGAGTAATTGCATACTTTGCTCATAATTGCTACTTTATTATCCCACCAATCATTAACTAATTGGATTCCTGTCTATGGCCTTCTGTGTCTTTTTGGTAATCATTAGCACAAACCCTTGGTTTTATTGGTGACAAAATTCCTACACATACATGTATAACGTGTGACATTATCGGCTGTTGATACGTTATCCGTTGGTTATTACATTATCAGTTTAACAGACGGGCGTCCCGAAGGCCCGTATCGTTTTTTCACGTAAACGAGTCGGGGTACAGTGCACCACCGCCGAGAAATGTCTGCATGGAGGAGCCTTTTTTTCATGTTCGTATCGGGCTCCAATTCCTCTTTTATTTATGGGAAAAGACAGGTCCGGTGCATGCGAATGGCAATTCACGGATAGCGTTATAATGTAATAATTCCTCCCAAATAGATGCAAATTCAGCTCAGAAAACGCCACGGATGGAAAAGTGAAAATAGAAAGTCTGACATTGATTGCGATGCTGGGGCGTCTAGTGAGTACTGCATGGAAAAACTTTAGTTCGGCAACTGTTTTAAAATCCTTCATTGAAATGCAATGCAACATGACCTACTTGGAATACACATTGATAGTTTGGGGGAATTTGAGCTATTTATCCATTTATAGATTGTCAATCTGCTGTAACTTTGGGAGATACGATGTTTACGCCGAAAAATACAATCCGAATGAAAGTCAACGTTCATTGAAAAATAAAACACTCGGGCATTAAAACACTTGGGAAAAAATTCTCTAGCAATAACCCGAGAAATACCAGGTGATTTCTCATGATATTTTATATTTTGAAATTTAATTTCATGAGAAATCATCAACTAATAAAAAAAAACATTTGACCGAAACAATCAAGTCTTTACACGCGACAAATACAATCCGAATGAAAGTCAATGTTCCTGGAATAAAAGCAACACATTCCTTTTGCATAGGAAAAAAAACCCGTTTTAATGAATTTGAAGTTCGTCTGTTTTACTATTTTGTTTGGGCATCTTACCCGCACACTTTTGCCAACTAGAAATCTAGAAATCCGCCCGTTTTTCGAATCATAACTCCGCCAGCTAGTGCCAATTTGTCCCCAAAATCGCGGACGAAATTATAAAAACTAATTTTTGAACTAATTCAAAACTCTGCCAGCTAGTGCCAATTTGCCCACCAAATCGCAGACAAAATTCTTAAATTCATGTTCAACAAAATTCACAAAATAACACATAGAGAAACAACCGACTTCGTTCCGAAAAACATGCTCACTGCCCTAAAAAAAAAAAAAAAAACCACACGATCAAGAGAATCTGTTTTGTGAAGCTGCGTACTCTATTCATAGAAGCCACAGGACTGCAGTCAATTACAGAATTTGCCAATAAATCATCTACCTCCTGGTTTAAAATGTTTTTTTTGGCAACTGTACACAGATAGTTGTCATGGTAACTACGGTAAATACAAATTTGATGAAAATGTAAAGCTACGCATGGATGGCGCTTGTGAAGGCCAGAAATAATAGGCAACTCGGAAAAAGCTATTAAGAAATGGGCTACATTATACTCGCCGAGTACGAAATTCTTTTGTGTGATGCAGCGTTTAATAAATACCACGAGGCCATGACCATAGCGGTGAAGACAATTGGGATATTGGCATCTTAGGGGCAATTGAGGGTGTGGGAGGATGGGTCTACACTCGGAACCAGTCTGGTAACAGTTGAAATGATGTTGCCTAAACGTTACACCTGTGGCTTGATAAGCCTTTGTCTTATGATCAGATGCACTGGTGGTAATGAGAGGTGTGGGGCCTCCATAAGAGGGGCGTGTCCTCCTGCTTGGAGCCAGTGGGGTGACAAATGCTACAAGCAACTCAGCGAGAATCTACCATGGGCTGAGGCAAAACAGGAGTGCATCAAGATAGGAAGCGTCTTGGTCATGCCGCAGTCTCAGGAGGAAACTGAGTACCTTCGGGAGAACCTAAGCATCTGGTTTTGGATCGACTGTAACGATCTGGAAGGTTTGTCATAAAAGATGCCCAGTGGCGCACCCAAGGGGGGGGGGGGGGCGCTCGGGGGCTTGAGCCCCCCTTGAGGTTGTCAATTTTTTTCTGGTAATTTTTTTTGTTAGTTCCTCGATTTGACCTTACGTTGGTGATATGTATGTGGCCTATTTTCGAGTAGTATAATAGGGTTGTAAGTGGCGCCACCAACGTCAAAATAGTCAGCCCCCACAAAAAAACACCAATTTTTTTCTGCGGCCCAAAATTTTGGCCAAAATTTTTTGACAAAATTTAACTTCTAAAACAAAACAAAAACTGTGAGCCCCCCAAAACCAAATCCTGGGTGCGCCACTGTATATGCCTTGTTTACTCGTCATCACTTTATTGCTGGCTCTAAGAAAACGAAAATGATCATGTTTAGAAATTAACCACATATTTAAATGAATTCGTTGAAGCAAAAAACTAAGATGAAGATAAAATATTTATTTAAAAAACTGTTTTCGTAACTGAGACGGTTATTAATCCTGACTGATTTAGTTCAAAAGTTTATGGAAAGAGACATTGTTTTAAAGATGTTCAGAGTATTTTGAAGACTCCAACAGTAATTTTCGCAGTGCCTATTTTTTGTGAGTAGTTTTCTGTAATTTCACGAAAAACAAATCTGAAATTCGAACAATCATTCGAAAAAAAAAATTCTTTCTTCAATAAGCGATATTGATTGGATTATTCTCCGTGTTGTGCATAATAGGTTCGTGGGAGTGTCGGGATGGTACTACCGATGTGGTGTACACCGACTGGGGGCGGGGTGAACCTAACAACGGCCACAGAGAAGACTGTGCGGTGGCGACAGATAGTGGTGTTTGGAATGATGTAAAATGTGAGGATCGCGCTCCCGTTATCTGCAAACGCCCAGCACCACAGCTGCAATTTTAAATACAAATCTACCGACGACAACGAGATTTGATTAAAATTGATCAACAACGAGGTTTAGTAAATTTCAGCATTTAAATGTTTACTTCTAAATTAGAATCACCAAAGTATGGTAACGAGTTCATCTGTGTGCCATTAATTGGCTTCAACAAAAGAAACAGCACCATTAATGACAGCTTCAGAAAGCATATCAATTAAGCAAGCAAGATGTATAAACATGAGAGACAGAACTCAAGCAAGCAGAATCAAAGAAGTCAAGAAGATAGAACAACGTGAGTTCGCATTCGCACTTAGAGTAGACAAGGCGAAGCATCGGTTCAGCCAAATCCCCAAAGCGTGAAGTGATTTCTAGGTGTCGAACTAGCTCCAGAAGAGCTTCATGAAAATAGTGCTCCAACGTTGAGGGCTGAACTACTGCATCTCACCGGGGTCTTTAACTAGTGTTACTGCAATCAATCAGATGGGGGGCCTCGTACTATACTTTCAATGGGGGCGCTGTTCAAATCCGACCATCATTAACACTATATCATAGAATAGTGTACAATAACCCCGTATTAAACACAGCTGGCTCTCTCCGAATTTTGGGCACAGGCGGACATTATTACCAGTATAATCATTTTAGGGTGTCGGAGCGGGGGTGGGGGTTCACATGATTGTTTTTATGTATTTCTATGAAACAAATTGAGTCAAAGCTGGGGGGGGGGTTGACCCCCTAACCACTTGAACCCCCCCCCCCCCCCCCCCCCCTCTATGGATCCGCGCCTGCGCATTATTGTTTATCGAGATCACACACGCGACATTTACAGCAAAGAAAATACTACGTCCGGATCTTTCTCGGCGCATACACCATGATTAGGTATCAAAACGAAACTGCATTTATGTTTTTGACAGATGATTTCAGCTCTTCACATCAGCTTATCTTTGCCTTTGTTTTGAAATGCGCCCAAAATCTGCTTTCGGGACACGTTCTCATTCAGCCGATCGTAGCTATGTGATGTCACGCACTGAACCTACGAGTAACAGCAACCGCGCGCGCGTGTGCGTCGTGTCAACGCTTGCGCGCATCAAAGTACCCATTCACGGATTCGCCCAATTACAAACCAATTACTTATGGACATTTCCAAAAATGTGTCACTTGGCGCATCTTTGGAAATTGCCTTATTTCATTGTTATCTTCAAAATGACAGCATTCCAGAAAGAATAATTTTACAGGGAGTTTGGTGCCATTGCTATCTCTAAAACAAAGTAAGCTTTTCAACAAAATTTGGTCTGTTTCTTTTCGGATAGCTGCAAATGACCTACTCTACCTTCAGACAATTAGTTCCAAAATACTCACACGTATGTACCCGCACGACTGAATTTGGTACAAGTTGAGTGAGGACGCAAATTGAAATGAAAACGGTTGATTCTTCCATTGCCTCCCTGCGGTTTGCTACTGAAACGTTCTGCAAGAAAAACGTATGAAAAATGCTTGAGTTTGTGTGCCAACCATAATGATAGTAGAACTGTTGGTAAGGGATTTTTGGTCAAACATCTGGACAATTTCCACGGCTTCATTTTGCTTCATAACTACGGAATAAAAACTCAGTCAGTTGCAGGATTCAGCTTTATATACCTTCGCCAGTTACCACCAAAAACTGCAGGACATTTTAGTAGTCAAGGTTGGGTGGAAGGCTAAATATAATGTCGAAATGATGAAACGTTCATATGTCGAATTTAAACAAGTAAGCGAGGAATACTACGTGGTAGCACAACCAAGTAGGGAATCAGAATTGAACTCGTTAAACACTTCAAGAGAACGATTGATACCAAATTTATATTTATTTTCCTTTAATGTACATATTTTGTTCTTGGTTGGATATGAATAAATGTTATATTGAATTGAATTGAAAAACTGATTGTAATCGTTTTATCGTACGATTTCATAAACACTTATATTACTATATAGTGGTCTTTACTTGTGTAGTTTGCAGTAAAATTTAACAGCCGTTGTGTGGTACTGCCTAAATCTGTCACTCTAGCCAGAACGACAAAAAAATATTGAAAATAGCAACAAAGAATGCCAACTGCATGAAAACAAAGCGGAACTTAGACGGTGGAAATAAGCCTCCGTCATAATCACGTAACACTCCGTTTACGTGTGTGCTTTCCTATGGTGCTCAGTGGACCGTAGGCCCCACTTGCTCCATAGGAAAGTGCACATGTAAACAGAGTGTGACGTCTCAAAAAAAATTCTCTCCAACTTTCACTCGGGAGGTAACACACTGAGTATACAGTGTTTATACGTCGGTGAAGGGCAAAACCTAAATATGAAACACATCACCCCGACGCAAAATTCCCATCTTATGAATAGTCTCAAATCTAATAAAGTGTGACGTCATTAGTACAGAGGCTTATTGATACACAAAATTTGATGTGCCTCGAATTCTCAGGATGCTTGAGACTATTATTCAATTGCAGTCAAGTAGGATATTTCGTTATTATTTTTAAACTTTGTTTTCTTATGTTTGCAAATATTGTATATTGCCTTTAACGGTTTCCACAGGCAAAGCGACATAATTGCCATTATAAATAGTTGATGCCTTTTTCAAATTAATTTTAGCTTCTTTTCAAGGGGCAGATGCTCATTTCAAATAAATAATATATTTGTGTATAATAATGAGAGAAATAACGAAAGCCGGCTATCAAGCGAGACCAGCGGCTGTGTGTCTCTGATAAGGCCAAAAAAAAAAGTCTCCGGTTTCTGGTATGCGCGCGCGTCGCCGTAGCCATGCGCGTCGGCAAAATGAAAAAGGTTTTTTTTCAAGAAAGATGATGTCTCAAAACCGCCAAACTCACTGGTTTGACTGGAATTCTGCTGCTGCGCAATTTCAACGTGTTTTTAGATGGGGTTATGATCGAGAATAGGCTTTATGTGGCCTCTCTGGACTCCCATATATTTGCACTAAGTTTAGTCGGGCACCATTTGCTGTCATCAGCCGACATTTGAAGCAAAAAAGTCGGGTAAAAAAAAAAAAAAGCCGCGTCACCGCACCACTTTTTGGACAAGCTCCATACCAGAAACCGGAGACTTTTTTTTTTGGCCTAACGGCCTATAGGTTGAACGTGAACTAAAACGAAAAATTGAATACGTGTATATATATTTCATTCGTTAAAATGCTCACAAAATAAGGCAACAATAACTACACAGACATTTCTCATTTGCACAAGTTTGTTTCTAGCGTTCGACCGCATTGAAATGCCCTAAGATACACAATAGTGTGTACACCTATTCACAAAGCTTGTATAATTTCGCCAAAAACAATGGAAGTGCAATAACAAATAACGAATACTTGGGAAAGTATATGTTGTTTTTGATTGACTACCTTTTTTCTGCTACTCATTCCGTAATGATGCACGATGTTACCAATTTTATTCACAATGTAATTACAAAGGAAATAGAGCAACAACACACTAGTGGCAATAACAATAAAACAGAATTCACTGTTTGCATCGGCCGGGAATCGAACCGGGCCTCCCTGATTGGCAAGCGAGAATTCTACCACCGAATGCCTTTTTAAATGTTATAATCAAATTCTTGTCACTAAAAAGTTAATGAGGAAGGTTTGTCTCACAAGAAATCTGACTAATTTATAATAAGAAAATAACTAGGGCTGTTGACCCTAAACCCTAAGAGCCATGCTCAATCCTCCAAAATTTTGCAACAAAGCCTAAATCCTTCAAAATCGTCAGACAGTCCTGCCTCAAAATGCATTCATCGTCATTCCTCCAAAATCCTCCTCATCCCAAAATTTTGCATTCATGTTCAAATGAAGGATTACCAACGCCTCAATCCTTCGAAATCATCAGACAGTCCTGCCTCAAAATGCATTCATCCTCAATCCTCCAAAATCATCCTCATCTTCAAACACCATTCATCCTCAATCCTCTATAATCATCAAGTGCTTAAACACAATTCATCCTCAATCCTCCAAAATCCTTGTGTTTCTCAAACATCATTCACCCTCAATCCTCAAAAATCCTACAAAACCGCAATGATGATTTTGGAGTAGTGAGGTGGGTTAGGGTTTTAAGCCTACATTTGCAATAAGACGAAGAAGTGTGACGTCACGACGGGTCATCTCTCGTAGTGATCAGTTCAAACAATGTCTGGTACGCCATTTTTACCATAGGATTTGCACGGGTGATTTGCCTAAACACTTTCAGGTTGAAATTTCTCGAAAATCAAGAATCAATATGGTTTTAGAAATGGAACATTGCTTTGTAGCTGACAGTAATCATCGATCAGAACGTGAATAATGCCGTTTTATGTTATGTTATTTTCCGACGGATGACAAATTGCTGAAAAGGTAGGCACCGTGCTATCGCCACGTAAAGGCCATGTTTGTTTGGACATTATCACACTGAGCAACGCGTGACCTCGACGGCGTGTGACACTAGTGTTCTCATGATTGTATGACGTGCAATTTTCACAGTCAGTCCCAACCACTCGTTAGATTTTAATTACATCATTAGGTTTTCAAACTACATTTTTTAAAACGTGTTCAGTATTGGTGGTTATTCTCAACTTAGACGTCGGAAAAAAAATTCAAACCGAGTCTAAATTATATATACATGTATACATCAAAACAGGAAAACATTGTCTTATACAAATTATGGAACATGTTTGATTAAAAATTCATTATCCCAACATATCAGTACAAATTTACAATGACGATTTTCAATTTCATACTTCTAAAAAGAATTTGAAACAAAACAGTATCTTTTGAAGCAATGTTGTCAGCAATTTTGTCAAAATGATTGATGTTGTATAGTCCATTATTCAAAACAACATTGCGTCTTGACCTCCAGATTCTGACCAATCAGCAGTCGCCTTCATCGTGTTTTCGGTAACGCGATGGTGCGTGAAAAACAAAAAACATGGCAGCTATTGACCATTCAACAGCATTGGCCGGATTTCTGCTCTACATGACGTCACAACTTTTACAGATGACTCTGATTGGCTGTACATGCACGGATATAATATTAGACGTTCGCAGTGTGGCTCTGCACACGTGAACATCTGATCCTTAGACTAGATGTTGTACTAAATGTTATACTATTCAAAAATGGGATAACTTTTCAGCTATATTCCCTAAAGTGCAGCTAAGAAAAAAACATTTTTTGGGGGACAAGGGCATTGAGTCAATTTATGTGGTCTTTTCGGAGACAACAAACATCCGCCGGATATCAGTGAAATTAATATCATTTTTTCTTCCTCTTTACCTTCAATTCATTTGACCACCGGATGGCGTCTTTGTCAAGCGGCATATGCTCATCAGACGTTAATTAATTATAAATGTCATCTTTTGGAGACAACCTTACAAATGCAAGCTCGCGATCAAAGAGTGTGACCGGCAGTTTGATTGATGATAATTGAGCCAGATAATGGATTAAGCCGAGGGGAGCATAATGACAAATTCAAAATATAATTATATTTCTACTTTTCTATGATCTATAGCATAACCCAAGACAAAGATACCGATGTTCGGATAAATCATTCGACAGCCAAAAGCGGATCCGGCGAGAGGTGGGGGGGGGGGGTGAGGGAATGCAACGGGGGGGGGGGGGGAATGTCCCCTCCAGAAAAGTTTAAACTTCTGTTTAGTCAATTAAACCAGAAAAGAGGTGGACGGCTTTAAATCGATGTTAGCCTTTACGGATTTTCGAAATACGTGTAAAAAGGGGGACCAGCCACACCAAAAAACCCACCCAATTTCAGTGGGGGGGGGGGGGCGCTGGGGGGGCTGAACATTTCATGGGGGGCGTCATGTGGATCAATGATAATTTTTCAGAAACTCAAAATCTCAGTGGGGGGGCGACTGGGGGGCGACAAGGTTTCATGGGGGGGGGGCTTTCGCCCCTCCCCACGCCCCCCCCCCCCCCCCTTGGCTACGCCACTGACCCCACCCCACCCACCCCAAGCGATTTTCTAGTTTGAAACATCAGGCTTGCCTCTCCCCCCCCCCTAAAAAAATGGTTCTTGATCCGCCCTTGTCAAACAACGGCCATTTTCATGTATCAATATACTGAATGGTTATTCGAGATCCGTGCATGTCGGTTCATTCCATCACAGTCACGTGCAGGTCACCTGACCACGCATAATTATGTAGCAAGATATGTGACAGAGGGAACCCCCCCCCTCTTTTGTGTTGGTCATTGTGTTACCAGAATCTGAGGAATTTTTCTGAGTTGTCAATGGGGATGTGTTAGGTAACAAAATAATAGTCTAGGATGTGAATACTGAATAGGGTATAGGGACATAGGGGTACCCCACTGTCATATATCGCGATGGGTATATGACCACGCCCTCCCCCGTTCTCCATATATCAAGTTGGGTTGATAAAGTTGCTGTAAAATCCCACTAAATCTTTCACAAAGATCAAGAAGTGATGAGACTTATTTGTCCTTTACCTACAACACCAATAATTAATTTATTCGGGAAAAAAAATAGATTCCTACAAAGCAGGAGGGTGCAGATTCTTCTTAGCGCACACTAATGTGAAATCTAATGAAGTAAATGTGTTCATGTTGTCATGCCAACGATTTGAAATTTTCAAAAGAATTTGATTTGTACATATCGCAAACTTGAGAAATTCTTATTCGCTCCAAAACTGATGAAAATCAGTTTTTAAAAACATAGGGGCAGCCACAATTGAAAGGACTGTTTTATGACACACGCAAGTGATTTCGAATTAACTTTTTTTGTAAGTGAAGAAAATGACGACGGTAATAATTTAAGATATATTAAATCAGCGATAAAATCGATCTTATATTTTTGTTGCTGTTTTGACAAATACAAACATTGCAAAAACTAAGCACTACTTGCGAATGTACAATGCATTAGCGTTTCAAATTGTTATGTAATCTGTGAACAAAAATCAAACGATTTTCATCAGTTCAAAACGTTTTTAATCTAATCCTTTTCTTGTTCGCAAAAGAGCAAAACATTCATCTTCTTTACTTCAAAGTACATCCAAAGCTTTTGTTTCTCTTCAGAACGAAAGAAAATGAAATAGTTGCCACGTGATCTAAATATTAAGGACAAGTGTCTCGCGAATGTTTCATCATCTAAGACCAAATCCGAATTCACAAGTTCGTAGAGTGCATCTCTGAAATTGTTCTATTATTGTAACGACTAGTCAGAGCACATTTCTTCTCCGTACATAGTACAGAAATAATCAGTCTTCTGAAACTTGTCCTTATCTTCGGAGCTTGTGCTGTTGTTCAGCTGGCATATCTTCTTCCCTCCTTCGGTTTTCTTGATGTTGAAGGAGCGGCATCCGGGCTCCTTGGCGCAGGCTGAGCCACAGGCGACCACGCCCTTGGTGATAAACTCCCGGATGTTGTGGTCGAGGAGGCAGGTTGAGTTGAGAATGCGGCCGTGGGTGTCGGTAGAGACGCAGTATTGACGGGGTTGGGTTGAGAGATGAGCACAAGCTGCATGACGAACACAAAATGCCCTGTTTGAACCATCACAGCGACCATCATCCATCCTGTGATTGTGCCGTGCGGCTATTGCAACACAATCTTGATTGTCAAATAGACCACCATCATTTGGTTCTCCATCATCCCATACCAAGAAGGGCTCGCCTCCCTCCTGACCGTCACACTCCCAAGTTCCTTCAACATCTCTGTCATTGCAAGCAATCCAGGCCCAGTATTCACTGTCCACCTTTCGTGCCAAGTCCACCATGAAGTTCAGTTCCTCGAGCGAGCGAGGAGCGGCCATCTTGCCTCCCACGTCTTGGCAAGCTGTCTTGGCGTCAACCCAATAATACGTTGAGGAAGTGAGGCGATAGCACGCGCTCCCCCACAGTTGCCACTCTGGCGGGCAAGAGGATTTGACAGGGGACCGAGAGGGGCAGAAATCTGACTCAGAGAGGGCCCTCATCGATAAAACGGCAACCACAATGGCAAAGAACTCGGACATAAACGCCATGATGAGCGGACAATTCGAAACCTTCGCTTTTCAGTTACTCAAGTTTACAAAGTGTCAATATTTCTGAGATCGGACTTGGCTGTGAAACGGCGAGAATGACTGGCTGGCTCGAAATGACAACTCCGAGCGGCGGCAAGCAATAAGGGCGATGAGCCACACACTCGTGTACAGTGTTTCAGTCCGTTGCCATGGCTACAATATAATGTTGCCATAGTTACCAAATTCATTCGCTTAATACACTGAAGGACTGTCACACGCGAGAGGACCCCCTAATATTAATAATTAATAAATTAATAAAATATAATTTCGGGACATAACCTACTCCGTGGAATGTGCCTAATTGAGCTACTCAACGCGTTTTAAACGAAATGATGTTAAAGGGACACTAGGTCCTGGAACAGCCCAAATGGGCTACAAAGCGCGCTTTGAACGAGAAGATTTTGTCGGAAATAGCATTTAAAAGTAGGATATTAACATACACACAACTATCCTTTCAAAACTGGGCGTTTTTGTGTAATTCCTGTATTATGCATGCGAGAACGATTTTCGAGGTCCACTTTTGCGACCCCATAAATTCGAGCTGTTTGGATGCTAGTTGTGATTTCATTCGTGCGCGTAAAGTGTTCGCCTTTTGCGGCCGTTGAAGACCACTTTTTTGCATTGGTGATTGGTCACCGCTGGTCCCGAGAAACACAACGTGTATAGCGTACACTGAGAACGACACGAAAAACGTATTCGTACTCCGTCATGTCCGATGTAAACAAGCGATTTCCCCCCCCCCTTCTTTTCTCTGTAACGGTAAGACATTAGGATGGTTTCCTTTCAACCAGATGTTTGAAATAGGCTAAGTAAACAATCCAAAACATATAATTTTCGGGGATTTTAGGACCTAGTGCCCCTTTAATTGGAAAGACCATGGATATAAACGTCCACACAATCATCCTTCAAAGACTGGGATTTTTTGTGTTATTTTTGCAAGAACGGATATCGGGGTCAAACTTTTGACTCTAAAAAATCGAGCTGTTGGGTGCTAATCGTGAATCCTGCCGCACATGTTCCACCAGTGAGTGCATCGCATTCTACGGACGTGCGAGAAACAACAACGTTTGGGTATCGGTGCTGTGTATATTATGTATCACACACACAACCAGTACGGCTGATCTGGTACACGGTACCCTGTGGAGACATGTGCATAATAAGGAACATTGTATACGTCTCCACATGGCAATTTCTACAGGTGAATACAAGGTCTCAACAATGTTATCATGAAATAGATATATGGACTTTACTCAAAAACTAGGAATTTCCAAGGTGTGTTGATCGTCGCAAAATGAAGTATTTTATGTAAGGGATATTAAGTCCGAATTTAAGCCCAGGAAATTAATTCTAGTTTAAATAGGAGCATTTTGAATGTAAGTTACACACCCATGCTGAAATATGTATCCGTGTGGAGTCCTTTCTTTGTTCTCGTGTACTAAAGTTTTCGAGTTGGAAAGTTTCAAAATGTGGACATTTGTTTCTCGAGTTCACGACTCGTGAACACGAGAAATACGAAGTGATTGGAACACAGCATTAGTCCCACTATGCATATGGCCCTTTATGATAGAACTTGCCTTTCATCCAGTCCGCGACTAGCTCAACGCGCGCGAAGTTAGAATATGAAATGACAGCGAGCATGCATGCACGAGCCGCGCACACACAAAGTCGGCGTGCCACTTTCCGTTTCGGTATCCGGTTCGTTAGTGTGACGTCACCTCCAGCACTTTCTGCACGATTGGAACCGGAAGTTAACGCAGCTCGAGCGTTTGTAGCCAATGGGCGCTAGTAATCCATGGTGGGCGCGCGTGTATGACGTTTTTACTAACGAACCGGATGGAAGTAGTACGATAATTCCATTTTCTGCAAACTAACAAACCTTTACGCCAATCCAGCTGGCAGAACTTGCAATTTTCCTCAAGTAAATTCCTGCTCAAAAAGGTGCAGGCTAATAACGGATAATTTCGAAATAAGCGTTCGTCACGTCACGTCACGTTTAGCGTGCATGTTTTGTATCATGCCTCCAGTACGTGATCCTCCAGGCATGACCGCATGTTACAGACGCGCGGGTCATACGCGCGTGCACGCATGTTAGACATTAGCCACGGCTGTGATTGGTCAAAGCACCATTGGGCGGGGCATAACGGGCTTAATGGATCGGTCCATTTGCAGACGGGCGTGACGGACATCTTTGAAATCTGGCTCTAGCTCATGTTTGTATATCTCTATTCAGCATTTTCTTTTTTATTTGCATCGTTCAGCACAGTAAAAGACAAATCACTGTGAACCTTCATATTAATAATTATTACAATTGCTTGAAGTGTAAATAAAATTAAACCCCAAAATGTACAACAATTTAGAATTAAGTTTGTGATATCGCTGGAGGAAAAAAACAAACTAAGTTGTGACTGCATCAGATCAAGAATTTTTTCAGAGCCATTATCCCTTTCGAATTAGAAAAAAAAGGTTAATTTCTCTGAATTGCTTGTGTGACCACGACAAAACCTGCAAATAAAATCCAGGAACAAAGTTATGAAAGGCCAATTGTTACATCATATTGAGTGGCAGCGCATACCAGTAAGTTATATACCTGTGTACATACACTATTTTGACGTCAAGAAATATGACGCCAAGAAATATGATGTCAAGAAATATGACGTCACGAAATATGACGTCAAAAATATGACGTCAAAAAGTAATAAAATGGGAATTAAAAATAAATTCAGGAAATGTCAAGAGAAATCGAAAAACCAAGAGCAGACATGAAACCCAAATGAGGGTGGTTATGTCTTAACATGGTCAAACGATTTCTCGGCCTTTTTGGGGGGAGGGTGTTGCAGGTTTTGGCAGGTTTTGACATGCTTTTGCCAATGATCTTTCACTCGTCTCTAGAAAATCTGACCAGCCACTGGGAACAGTACCCCTTGGTAAATATATTCGCTTCAACATCTGACATCCTTCATAAATAAATTTCCTCAATTTGAGAAATCTACTAAATGGACAAAAGGGGGACAACTTCTCCTTCACATAAACTGAAATAATTATGTCATATCGACATGGTAATGTACATGAAAATTAATGCTTTTACAAAAATTATTGGTTAACAAAAAAGTTGACTGTAGCAATTTGTGATGATCATGGCATGTTCTTTCATCGAATATGTTTTGCATGACTAAAACATTGTAACTACTACTCTTAGGACACATGACTTTTGACTGGTACCCTGTCTATATTGTTGCAGAAAGAAATACATTTCCCCCAGTGTCTTGAGCTGAGCACCAGTCTTTACCACTCAACATTATCCTCGCAGTAATAATGCACTCGTTTCCAACAACCAAATGTGGCTCGTTTTTAGTGCAGTCAACCAGCAAGGTTAACATATATTTTTTAGCGGCATTGGTCATCATAACAAAGCCTATTAATTAGTGACAGAAGAACGCCTACGTGAAGACGATGATAATGCACAGAGACAAATGCAAGGCCAAGCATTAAAGGCACATAGTAGTGACATAGTGAAGGAAAAACTAACAAAACAGACTTATAAAAAATAAGCATTAATACAACAGTTTAGTCCTGGGCGGCGAGTCTTTACAAGTCGAGTACTCGTGAAAAAATACTTCCGAGTACTCGTGTACTCCTAATACTCTCCCAACTGTGATTAGTCCTGGATGACTAATGTTTCTTTGAACTCAAAGTACTCAGGAAGAAGTTACTCGTCAGCCTGAGTACTCCAGTAGTCTCAATACTCGCCCAGCCGTAATAGTCCTGGTTGAGTAATGATTCTTTGAACTCAAATACTCAGGAAGAAGTTACTCGTGAGCCTGAGTATTCCAGAAGTCTCAATACTCGCCCAGCTGTAATTAGTCCTGGGTGAGTAGTGATTTCTTTTCAACATGAGCCATGAGTACTCACAAAGAAATTACTCACGAGTACTCGCCACACTCGCCCAGTGGTTAAACAGCCATCATCCAACAATATTATATATGCGCATACATATCAGTACAATGAACATTCTTACTAATAACAACAAACTTAATGTACATATTCTTCCAAGATTTGAGAAACTTTGGCATTACATCAGACATGTTAATGTACTTTTTAGTGGCTGTACATGTCAAATATAAATGCATGCAACAGACAAGCTTCAAAGATTTTGCTGATTACAATTGACAATTTAACTTGTAGGTTTTTTGCAAGAGTAGCAAAATGCACCGATTCATTTTCTCGACTGATAACCAATACAATCTGATGCTTTTTAGTAGTCAAAACCCTGTAATGTGGTTTTAAAGGAGGATGGACAGAGCCCATAAACGTTTAGGTCAAATTTGAAGCAATTATTCTCAAAACAAAAGTTTGAGGTGTTTCAGTCATTTCCCTCAAAAGAATCCAAATTTGCATTTTCCATAATTGTGGAATCTTACATTTTATAAACCTTTGTTTAAAGCAACCCCAAAAATGTGGAAACTTATGTCTTAGAACCTGATAATCCCTCTTAATCCATCACAAATCTTGGGTAGATCTTGTTTTAATCCCTTCAAAGTTTTGAGACAATATTTCAAAATATCTTCATATTCTGCCGAGGAAATAATAGATAAGTAATATATAGATTGTTAAATTCATGACGTGCAGGTGTAGTGCATAGTGATAGTACATCGACATCTTCTACTAGGATAAGCGTTACACAAAAGTACATTAATACTAATAACTGTGCTGAAATTCTGGGCTTGTACATGAAGAAATGTTGACCTTTAGGTCATAGGTCATTCAAAGGTCAAGGAGATAATGTGCTGTCAATGCGATTAAATGCAAATTTCAAACACCAATGCCTTAATAACATAGCCATTTTGATTACATTAAAAGTGTGATTTAATATGGATCTTCAATCAGTCAAATTTCAAAGTTCAAATTTGGGTGTTCCTTTACAGAAAAAGTGTACAATATTACTTGATGTGCCCAATATTACTTGATGTGCCCATGGTTTTAAAATATTTACTGAGAGTCAACCTATTCATGGCGTTTCTTGGTTCTGTGGCTGTAGCAATGTTCTAAAATACATACTTAGTCCTAAAAATCCCCAAAGAAAACATATTGGAAGAAGACAGACTAGCTTTTAGTACGGCAGATAGGTGATGGGATTGTGCCTTCGATGATACAAGAGTGGA